AAAAAAAAAAAAAAAAAAAAGGTGTTGTTGCTGCCCTAACTAGTATGAATGAGGTACCTCGGCCAGGCACTTACAGAAGTTGAGCAAGAGGGATATGGGAGGCCCACAAACTTCCATGTCTGGGTCCTCATCAGAGACTCCTGGTCTAAGGAGAGAAGATGCCAGCCTGGGTAGTCAGTCTCACTGCAGCATACGGGAGACAGGAAGCAGGACAAGGCCAGGAGATGGAAGGGGCCTTCCTGCCCCTCAGCAGTCCTTGACTAGTAAGGTCCCTCCATGTTCTCTGATGGTGGTGGGGCTCCAAAGATCCTGGCAAAGAACCTTCAGTTGGAGCAGGCCTGGTCCTGTGCAGCAGCCAGGCAGGCCCATTCAAGCTGCTTTCCAGACTCTTAGCTCCTGCTGAGTGGGATGCTGGGCAAAGGTCCAAAAGCTGTCTGGGCAGGTAAGGTCCCCATCAGCAGCAAGGAAGTGTTGTCCCCACTCCACACTCCAAAGGTGACCTAGGCTTTAGGCACTGCCTGCATACCTGGTGCTCAAAGACAAGGTGTTCACTGTGAAGGGATCAAGTAAAACAGCGCAAATATCTGAGGTCGTATGGATCATAGGGGAAGAGGCTGTGTCTGCAGGCACCCATGGGCATGTTGTGCAGACTCTCAGCTACATGCTTGGCTGTGCACCTGTCCTGCAACTCCACCCAGCCCTTGTAGTCCTTGCTCTACTTGGATCCCTTTCTTCCTCCCGAGGCTGCTGCTATATTCTTCTTCTTCTTTTTGGTACCAGGGATTGAACTCAGGAGCGGGGCACCACTGAGCTAAATCCCTGACCCACGCTGCTGCCTTCTTGTATCTCACAAACCTGGCCTCGTCCTGAAAGAAAACCTGTTCATTGCAGATGTGCAGGGGTCAGAAGTGTGGTGGGATGTGACCCAGGTACACAGTGTCTGGCACTACCTGCTTCTTGCTGCCGTGAGCCACTTCAGGTTCCTTCTCATCCTCCTCCACCTCTGATTGCTCATCTTTCCCTTCCAGCTCCTGCTCTGTTGCTGCCTCAGATCTGGCCAACGTGCTGGCCAGTCACCGAGTGCTTAAGCCATTAAGCAGCTGGTGTGGGTGACATGCACCACGTGCCAAAAGTACCCTTGTCTAACCCACAGATTCTGTTGAGCTTTTACCATTTATCCTAGTAAATCCATTATAGAAAAAAAGGAAATAGTCTAAGCTATTACAGGTGGTACACACCTGTAATCCCAGCACTCGGGAGGCTGAGGCAGGAGAGTCACTGTGAGTTCAAGGCCGGCCTGAAATTCACAGCAAGACCCTGTCTCAAAAACCAAAATAAAAAAAAAGAATGAAAAAGGAACTAGAAAAAATAAGAACCAAGATTGATTGTGTAAAGGTACAAATTTCTAATAATGAATGTCATTATATTATATACTTTAAATGTATCAATAGAAGTAATTAAAAAGAAAAAAGAAATAGAAAGTTATGTACTTTTCATTCCTCATATCTTTTTAGCCTTTTTAAATTTGCAACAGTTCCTTTCTATATTCTGACAGGCCATTTATTTTGTTAAATTTAAATACTTTGGGTTGGTCTGATTTTCCTTGTAGGGGCTTCAGATTTACACACAGTTGATAGGAGTTCCACTGGCGTGCTACAGAGCTCTTGTCAGTGTGTCACTTCAGGAGGCAAGTAGTGTCTTTAGGTTCCCCCTACGGCTATCAGGTTGATGGCTTACTTCTCTTTGCTGTGTGCCAGGAGGTGGTAGCAGTATGTGGATCTGACAGGTGGTATCAACTTGTTCCTAATTTATTTCATTGAACACCTCCAGAAATCTGTTGTTGACCCTCCTGTTTGTCATGAGGCCACTGCCTTCCATGTTCCAATGCATCTCTCCCTCCTCTCCTCAGGCATGCCAGATGAACAGAGGGAAGGGCTCCAGGAAGAGCTCATCGATATCATCCTCTTCATTTTGGAGCGGAACCCTCAGCTGCACTACTACCAGGGCTACCATGACATCGTAGTTACATTTCTGCTGGTGGTAGGCGAGAAGCTGGCAACATCCCTGGTAGAAAAATTATCTACCCACCACCTCAGGTAACTGTGAAGAGGGACTAAGAGGATGGGTGTCATTCCTCCAGCCCCCTTAGGGTAACTCCTTGGCCCATCTTACAGTCAGTTTCTTCTGTGGTTTGAGCCCAGTCTGCCCACAGCCTTGATCAAGTGTTTGATCTGACCAAGTGTACCTCATTGTCTCCCTCCAGGGATTTCATGGATTCCACAATGGACAACACCAAGCACATATTAAACTACCTGATGCCCATCATTGACCAGGTGAATCCAGAACTCCATGACTTCATGCAAAGGTATATGTGCATTTATGTTCTCACACACACACACAGACCTATGCCGTAATCCTCCTCCTAGCTCATTTTTTCCTCACAGAGCTCATTCAATTTCACCACCATCTTGTGATCTTTGTAGTCGAGTACTCTTTAGTCTTGGAGCACTCTCTGGGCATTGTGCCCTTGTGGGGTTGCAAAGATGTTACAACTCACGTCTTGAAGACTTTATATCTGATGGGGAGAGATGGCTAACATGAGCTTGCCAACATGGACTCTGAGGCTTTTGCTCAGGAGAAATATAGAGTCCTAGGGGATTGAGAGGAGAGGAAGACAAGGCCATCAAGGACAAGGTCGTCAAGGACAAGGACATCTGTGGAGTGTTTTATCTTCCAAGTATCAAGGAGAAGTATTTCCTTGCATATGCCATAGATTTTTAAAATTTAAATAATAACTGGCTTTTGTTTGTTTGTTTTTTCCTTTTGGTATCGGAGCTCAAACTCAGGACCTGGCACTTGTGAGGCAGGCAGCAGAACCACTGAGCCAAATCCATGGCCCAAAAATAACTGTTTTAAGATGGTTTGGGCTCTCGTGTTAACTGAAAAATTGTGTTCTATGCCTGAGAGTATGAGCCTGTGCCCCCACAAGGGTAAGTGTCTCAGAAGGAAAGCTACCCTAGTGTGCTTCTCTGAGAACAGCTCTTAGTCCTGCAGTTGATACTTTTGAGCATTAGGAGCTAAGGCAGCTGGGACACTGTTATGCTATTAGTGTCATAGCACATTTTAAAGACTTTTTTGGGGATTTGTGACAGGGTCTTGCTTTGTAGTTCAGGCTGGCCTCAAACTCATGGTGATCCAGCCTCTTGAGTGCTGGGATTATAGGTGTGCGCCACCATGCCTGGCTTAAAGACTGATTATATTTTGTGAGAAGATGTTAAGTTCCTAGGAAGTCAGATTTTCTAGAAAGTGGATTTCCCAAGTGCTTCATTCTCCCCAGCACTGTGGCCAAAGGCCCAGAAAAGGGAAAGGGAAGGGCTAACTTGGCAAGGAACCTAACATCTGGATTTCTGTTGTCCTAGTGCTGAAGTGGGGACCATCTTTGCCCTCAGCTGGCTCATCACCTGGTTTGGGCACGTCCTGTCTGACTTCAGGCATGTGGTGCGGTTATATGACTTCTTCCTGGCCTGTCATCCGCTGATGCCCATTTACTTTGCAGCCGTGGTAGGTACAGGCCATGAGCCAGCAACTAGACTCACCGTCAGCCTTCCAGCTTGGTCTCTGTCTTGGAGGGGAGACTGGTAGCTATGAAAACATGCGGGAGATGGGGCTCCTGAGGTTGGTGTCCTTTGGCACCATCTGTGCAGTGTTAATGAAGATGTCAGGGAAAAAGATGCTGTGAAATGCTAGTTACAGATTTCTTTCTTTTCTTCCCTCTTCCTTTCCCTCTCCTCTCCTCTCCTCTCCCCTCCCCTCCCGCTGTGTAGTTCAGGCTCACCTTGGACTCGCTGAGTAGCCCAGGTTGGCCTCAAACTCTCAGTGATCCTCCTGCCTCAGCCTCCCAAGCGCTAGAGCAGACACCACACCCGGCTTAAACAGTGAGGCTCTTCCATACTTTATTATGAATAGCTAATGTTCCTGCTGACACCTCCCAGAACTGCATATCGTTAGGGAGTCAATGGCACAGTGCATGGCACTCACCCTCGGCAGATGTAGGAAGGCAGATTGGTGTTAGGCCCAGAAAGTGAGGTGGCTGTGGCAGTAATGGGGGCTCCAGTTATCTGGAGTCCTGAGTGGCATGGAGGTGGGGACATAGGAAGGTCTTCACAGATCCCTTCTGTAGCTCTGTGACCAGCAGTCAGAAGAAAGATATTTAAAAGGAGAGGACTCTTCTTTCCTGTTTTGAACTATGCTATACTGGAGCTCTGAGAATCTCTCAGGAATCTCTTCTCTTGAAAGAATGTCCTTCATTTCTTTGAAGACTTTGGGGGTCACTTGAGCAGACAAATGTGCCTTTCTTATCAGTGCACAAGTCTGCGCACAGGAGAGGCCAGCCTGGTGGTAACAGCTCAGAGAATAAATCCCTTGCTTCTCCCTGGATGGATGTGAGTTTGCTGGACATTGGGCTGCCTCCTGTCTCCTCCACAGAGGCTGGGTCTAGGTGTCCGCTCGCTAATGCAAGGTCTTACTCCCCACAGATCGTGTTGTACCGTGAGCAGGAAGTCCTGGACTGTGACTGTGACATGGCCTCAGTCCACCACCTGTTGTCCCAGATCCCTCAGGACTTGCCCTATGAGACACTGATCAGCAGGGCAGGGGATCTCTTCGTTCAGTTTCCCCCTTCTGAGCTCACACGAGAGGCAGCTGCCCAGCAACAGGCTGAGAGGTGAGTGGGTCCAAGGTGTGTGAGCAGGCAGCTTGAGGGGAGACTCGTGTCTGGTGGGCACAGGGCTTGGCCCTGGTCCCTGAGACCTTGGAGCCCCGCATCTTCCTGGAGGAGAATGCTTGAGAACGCATGGCCCTCCCTCGGCCTCTCGAGTGGGGCACTCGCCCCAGCTCTTCTTTCTCACACCTTGCTGCTTCTGCTTCCCGCCCCACAGAACGGCAGCCTCTACCTTCAAAGACTTTGAGCTGGCATCAGCCCAGCAGAGGCCAGACATGGTGCTTCGGCAGCGGTTTCGGGGACTTCTGCGGCCAGAGGCTCAAACAAAGGATGTCCTGACCAAACCGAGGACCAACCGCTTTGTGAAACTGGCAGTGATGGGGCTCACAGTGGCACTCGGAGCAGCTGCATTGGCAGTGGTGAAGAGTGCCCTGGAGTGGGCCCCGAAGTTCCAGCTGCAGCTGTTCCCCTAAATTCAGCCACAGGGGCCCCTTCTGCTCAGTCAGGGCTTGCCCTTCCGTGGAAGGACTGAGAGGGAGGAATTTCCTTGATTAAAAGGGTTTCGTTTAAGGGTATTCTCTTTCTGCCACCCTTTCGTGCCTGTCTGTTGGCCTTGGCTTGGAGGCAGCAGCAGAGCTGGCTGAAATTGCAGGGCCCAGGGCTTGGGCCTAGCGCTCAGTGCACCCAAACTGCACCCTGCCGCCTCCCCTCCTGTTGTAGGGTGTGGGTTCTTTAGCTCCCAGCTGCTTGGGAGCCTCTGGGCCTAGACTTCTCCCTTCTCCGGGGTACCCACAGAAAGGAAGGGGACTGCTAAAGAAGTCAGGCCTCAGAATGAAAGCAAGAGGGCAGATGATTCCAGCCTGGGAGCCAATGGGCCTTCTCAATGGCATCTCTATTAGGTGAGCAGAAATCAGACATGAATTAGATTACTGGATAAATCCTACCTAGCTTCAGCCTAGATATCAGGTGGGCATTTCCAGTACAGCAGGAAGGAATATTCCTAGACTGGTTTCCCTGCCTTCTGTGTCCCACCTGATTCTCTTATAAGATATTTATAGAAGACACTGATATTTTTAGAATCATATACACCTACTATGTAAGAATGGTCCTCATCAGGATAAGCTTCTGAAGTTTATTTTCTACTCACTTCTTTTAACATTTCACATTCACCAGAGTTGCTGTTTATAAACAGCCCCACAATTCCAAAGTGCCCACCTCCTTACTGGCTTTCCTTCTTTCCGGTTTACCACAAATCTCTCTTCTCCTCCCAGCTAGGCCCCACTTTGCCACGGCATTGTCTTGGTTTGATGTCTCTCAACAGCTGGTCTCTCTGCCTTGTTGGAAATGTCATTGGAAACTTGGGGGCCCCAGAAAGGGACAGAGCATAGCCTGAAGATTGTGGCAGGAGACAGCAACAGCCGGTCTTGGCCCAGGCTTCTCTGAGGACTACAGGGCTTGGGAGCAAGGGGAAGTCTCAGGCCTGGGACAGCTTCCCTGTAAGTGAAGCCAGGTTGCTTTTACGTTAACTTTGGCTTGAAAATAGAAAGTGCCTTTTGCTGCTTTAAAGAATTGGAGTGCAGGTAAAGCAGCCACATACTTTCACCCTTCTGGTCTTTCTGGCGCTGTTCTCTCTCAGCAGGCGACCTCTCCAAGTGAACATACGGAAGGACTGCACCCTGCGCCGTGTGCCTGTGTGCAGGGTGGGTGGCCAGCGCTTGGCAGAGGAGTCGCATGTTAAACTAAGCACTTTAAACCCAGACAAGCTCACAGTGGCCAATACCCATGGCAGGAGCCCCACCTGAGGGGAGCATGACCTAGGTGGATTAACTCAGTGGCAGACTCAGCAGGACAACAGAAAATTCTCCCCAGGATCCAGAAGTGACGAGGTAGCAGATGTGCCCACTCTTCTCCCGCAACAAGTTTGTTCTCTTCTCTAAAAAAGATGCAGCATCTGCTCCTCCAGCCACAAGCACTTGAGCCTGCTTGTAAATCTGAAGGAATCATGGCAGAGGAAGGGAAGGTATGTGTGACTAGGACCCCAGGGTCATGACTTCTTAGATCCCTGGAAGCAGTAATGTTTTCTTGTGCTGGGGCCCAAAGAGATCATTCATGTAGCTTTGCTCACACCAGTATTCTCTGCCACTGAGAAGAAAGCATCTCTACCTTCAGGTGATTTACTTATTCTGTAAAGAATATGTGTAAATATTTTGTACAGAGCCCAATATGAAATAAACAGCCATAAGTGGTTACAAATCACAACTTGTTCTGTCTGTGCCCACCAATGACTGGCCTTACACCTCTGGTCCTGATGTTCCCCGTAATCCCCCACACCCAGGCCCATGCACCAGGAGACCGGGGAATGACCTTCAGGTCTGTGTCCCCTGCACAAGTGTGCCTGCGCATTCCAGCTCCCGTGGCAATACCAGAGCTACCCAGCACAAATGTGCAGCATTCAACTGCCCTCGGCTTTGCAGGCTGGCATCTGGTTTTGGAACTCAAATCAGACCCTGCTCTGAATGCAGCTCCCCCTCCTTGGGGTTTCTCTACTTGGAACAGCGCTGAAAGCTGTGCTTGCCCTGCTTTCCGGCATCCCCGTGACAGCCCCGCTGTCGGGCAGTAGGGGTGTGAAGAGGGAAGCGTTGTGTCCGGGGTGACATGTTTCCCTGGCCCAGAGAAGAAACGGGAGGCCTGAGGCAGAGCCACCACATCTTGGTTCCTTGAGTCCCACTGTCAGAAGCCATAACTGTGAAGTACACAGGGCTTCCAGGGACACTGTCCTGCCCCTGGCAGCTCGGAGGATGCAATGAAAAGCAGTTTGAAGGGCAAATTCAGGGGCAGTTTCATGGGAGTTGATGGTTGACTATAAAGAATGAGAAGTTTTATAACTGGAGAACTTAAAGTTACTTGTGGCACAGAAGAAATCTCATCTTGGTCTCAGGTTCCTGGCACACAATTTCTAAAGCACTTGAAAAAAACAAGGAGAAGATAACAGAAGTGACTTTATTATTTTTAATGATCTCTGGATCCCACCTACATTCATACAAATCATTTGCTGTGGGACCCCTAGGTAACCTCGGGACTAGTCACCAGAAAGCCCAACTGATTAGGTGGTTCCCTAGGGTTGGAATCCTGGAGAGGAACTATGTGAAAACATGAATGACATATCTAGAGCTGCTAGTGGGACCTTGTCACCTTTCCACTGGGCTGTTCCTGCCCTTAGCCCACAATACACTGGTAAACCCAAGTCGTGTTTTCCTGAGTCCACTGTCATGCCAGCAAGTGAAAGCCTGAGGGGATGGAGTCACGGAGCCCCTGAATTTGTTCTTGGCCAAGCAGAAGTATGGGCAGCCTGGGCACCCATCTTATCTGGCACCTGAACGACAGAAGTCTTTGGAACGGAGCCCTTTAACTTGTGGGACTGCTGCTGACTCCACGTAGTTTTGGAATTGAATTACTAGATGCCTAGTTGGTGTCAGAACCTCAAATGAGGGGAACACAGGACAGGCAGTGTAAAAATAGCAGCTGACCAAAAAGTGGGGGCTGTGGGGACAGCAAAGCCCAGGAGGCATGGGGTCGGGTCTAGAGATGCGTGGGCAGCAGTATGTCTTGTACCAATGCAGGCGACAAAGGCCCTTGCTCTACTCACATGTTCTCTGCTGTCTCTGCACACAGTTCCTAGGGTCAGCTTTTGAGTTTAGGCATCAAAGGACAGGGTGGCAGTGCCTTTCCAGGGGCTGGAACAAGCCTGTCCCCAAAACCACACACCCTGCCATCAAGAGCCTGGAGCAGGCCTTGAATCTCAGAGGCACTTCTGCCTGCCGTGATGATCACATGCAGTGCAAACCATATGCTGCCCATCAAATGCCAGGTCTTCGCAGGGGACAGGCATTTCAGGCCTGTGCCTGGAAAAGTCTCTTGAGTGGCAAAGTGGGTACAGGTACTTTGCCATCTGGCAAAGAAGGGCAGACTTCACCCCTCAGCAGCAGTTTCATCTATTCCTGAATCATCCCCCCTCCACCCTGCCCTGGTGCTCACTGAGAGGCCAAAGAACAGGGAGACTTTCCCACCAATGGTGGCCCCAGCTGCACTGCACACCGCCTATGGGGCAGCCACTGCTGCTGGGCACAGGGGGTGCTAAATCTGGTACAGTGGGTCCCAGGGCCAACAGATTACCTTCCTGATGCCATTCAGAGAGCTCAGCACCTGTCTGCGTGTGGTCCCAGCCCATGCATTCACACCCTCTCCATGATACCACAAGCAGCCCTTCCTGGAAAACCGGTTTAATTTCCTTACACAGGTGAGACGGGACACAGCACAACGCCCACTGCACTGTGATCTCACCCAGCCCAGTCTCCCTCTGAGCAGGTCCACAGCAGCAATAAGAGGCTCCGGGCCTCTGACAAGACAGAGCAAAGTCACTCTGGAAGCCAACGGGGAAGTGGTGAGGCTACTGTTGGGGGCCAGTGGGCAAGTGTCGTTGGGAGGAGCGTTGTCGCACGGTGCTGGCGGAGGATCGGGCCAGCAAGGCCTCTGGCCAGGGCTGTGTTGAAGGACTGAGGCTGGCAGAGGGAAGAGCCACAGAGAAGAAAGGTCTGGCCATCAAGCCCCTGAGGAAGGGCAAAGGCACCGGGGCAGATGTGACTGAACAACTGCAGGCAGGGCCCCTGAACACCTGGCACAGGCAGGCCACCGCGAAGGGGGGACCCTTAGCCTCAGCCAATCACACGGATGTCTCCCAGGCCAGAAACCAGAGCCAGTGCCTCAAGCCCAGCCCTGCCCACCACAGCCTATGAATGGGGTGGAGGTTGCCAGTGTAAGGACCCAGCCATCTTGAGCTTAGTGACAGTTCTGACAGCTTGGGTGGCAAGGAATCCCATTCACTCGGCAGCGGCAGCCACCACTGGTGTCCCCTGGGCCCTAGAGGAAGGGAACAGAGGACGCGAGGCTGGTGAGGACAGATCACCGTGCCATTCTGACAGCGCTAACAGTAAGCACATGCTGCCTCCACAGGTCCTCCTGACACAATCTGCCTCCTTGGTCTCGGCCACCTGAAGGAGGCAGTCAGGGAGGCTTCTTCTGGGCTCCTGCAGTGCCCTGGCTCTGCCCTAGGCCTGAACAGTGCAGGAGCTGGCACTGTGTCACGCATCAGCCACTCCTGCTGCCCCATCCTTCTCCAAGTCCGCCTGCTCTAGGAACACCCCAAATAAGGGCAGCTCCCACCTGGGGGTGCTCACCACACAGCAGGCCCCCGATGAGCACTTCTCCTGCACCTTCTCACTAGATTCTGACAATGTACCTAAGATAGGCACTGCTGCCTTATCCATCTCAGAGGGGAAAACTGAGGCTTCAAGGTGACCAGTCTCTTCCAGGGGTCCACCTCCAAGTCCAGACTGAGTCTTTAGCTGTCCTTTCTCTCAAGCAGGCCTCACACACAGCCAGGGTCAGAGGTGAGCACGCGTTCCCAACCCTGACAGAACTGGATTTATGAAAATGAAGAATGACTCCACATTGTTCTCACTTACCCTGAAATACTATGGTCTTTTCGATGTTTGTTTTCTGTGAGGGGTGAACCCACGGCCTCATGAAAACTAAGCACCTATCACTGAGCTATTCTCCCAGCCCTTTTGATACTTTTAAAACCATTTAAAAATGTAAACAGAACTAGTGTTATGGTACAGGAGTATAATCCCAGTTAATCAGGAGGCTGAAGCTGGAAGATCATACACTGCAGACCAGCCTGGACAATTTAGTGAGACCCAGTCTCAAAATTAAAAAATAAAAAGAGATGGAGATGTAGCTCAATGATAAAGTAGCCCTAAGTTCGCCAGTACCAGGGGAAAATATACAAATTTCTACCACATGAACTATACAAATACAAGTATAGGGTTGGATATGGCCCCCTAGAAACAGTGTTGCAAGCCCCCCTCTAAGACAAAGCCCATAGCAACCAAACGCTCCTCCCAGAGGACTCACCCCAGGACCCCAGCGCGGGCCCTTGGTGACCCAGCAGATCTCAGTGTGGCAGACAGTGCAGCGGATCCAGTCACAGCCGTCCTTCTTCTGCACCACGATCCGGCACCGGGGGCAGTGCATGGCCTCTCCCTGCTGCAACATCACCTGGGGACGGGAAGTGCTCAGTGCAAAGCCTGTCCTGCTCCCAGCCCCCACCCCGCTGGTCCCTGAGGTCCGCATTTGCCCTTTGGGGCCTCTCCTCTACCCAGACTTTCTCCCTACTCCTGGCCTCTGAGTACCCGGCCTAAGGCCACCTCCCGATGGGTGTGTGGACAGAGGGAGGTGCAAGACCCAAGGATGCATAAAGTCAGTCCTTTTTAGAAAGCCCCCTCAGCTTAGCCACCAGGCCCTGGAACTGAACTTGCCTCACCTGCAGCATCTCTGTGGTCTGCCGGGCAGCCAGGTCATTTTGAGCCCGCAGTGCCAGGTCATCCTGATACTCCTTGCAGTTCATGCGCTCATGGATGGCCTGCAAGGTGACAGGGTTCCCCAGGCAGCTGAGAAGCTGGGAGGGTTGGGGCACAGCAGCCATTGGCACAAGGACTAGCTATCTCTGGACATATAGGACCAGGAGGCCAGGGAGGTGAAGCCAAGTCCTGGGTAGGATCATCATGATATCAACTTGTCTGATTTAAGCCCTAAGCATCTCTTCCCAGGCTGTGGTCCCTCTCCATGCTTCTGCTCTGCCCATCACAGCCCAGTGTTCAGGGATTAAGTTCACTTAAGACTGGATCTGTTCCTACCCCACAGCTTCATGGGAAACATCTGGGGACATTTGGGCAAGGCCAGGCCTGGAGAAAAATCACACAGGGCTCACTCTGGGTCAGAACTCAGTTCTGCCCAGGAGTGGAGACCAGGAGACAGGCTTGGTTCAGAATCTAGGCTTACGGTTCAGTACGAAGCCTGGGCTCAGTTCAGGGTCCAGCCTTGGTGTAAGGCCAGCTTAGGGATTTGGATGGGGTCAAGATTCATTATGAAATCAGGATTCAGCCTGTGACTGGCCAGAGTTGGGCTCTGTGCAGCCCCAGGACTCAATATGGAGCGAAGATGAATGCTCAGTACTAAACCAGGCCAGTGTAGGGTTGAGCTCCGGCAGGGGCAAGTCTAGGACCTGGTCTGTGGCATCGAGTCCACTTTAGGGCCAAGCTAGGCTCCCACTGATAATTGGCCCTCAGTCTGATCCACAGGCCGATACCACCGCTCCCTTCCCTGGGAACAAACACTGAGAGCCAGTGAGCCCCTGGCAGGACAAGGTGCCCGGACCATGTGGGACCCTGGCCCCACCTTGCAAAGCAAGCAGTTCACGTGGAAACAGACGGGGCAAGTGAACTCATTGACATCATCCTCAAAGAAGCACCAGCCCTTGCAGTCTGGGGTCTTGCAGTGGTAGCTGAAAGCACTGCGGTTTTCTGCAATGGAGACGCTCAGGTCCAGAAAGCGCTGGTAATCCTCGGGGGTCAGGAGCTGCAAAACACTCAGATCCTTGTTGCTCAGGATTCAGACAACTAATACCAGGTGGTGACCCTTGTCACCACATACTCCCAGAAGCCTCCAGCCCTAAGCGCCATCCCAGTTCCCGGCTCTTTGCTATGACCCTGCTAGTGTTTAAAAATGGTTTCAGGCCTAGGAATTTAGCTCAGTGGTGCCACCACCTGCTTCACAAGCACAAGGTCCTGAGTTACGTCCCCAGTACCTAAATAAAAATGGATTCAATAAATAAATTAATTAATTTTAAAAAATGGAATTCAAAGGGTGATTTAAAAAAGCTCTGAAGAAGCAGGCTTCTTTAGAAGCCTGAACCTGAGGTTCAGAAGCCTGAAGCCTGAGGTTCAGAAGTTGAACCTCAATCTTCTAGAAAAAGAACAAGTCAAGCCCAAAGCTTGCATGAGGGAGGAAATTGTAAGAGTCAGAGCAGAAATTAATGCAATGGAGACTAAGAAAATACAAAGAATCTATGAATCAAAGAGGTGGTTCTCTGAAAGATTAAATAAAATTGACAAGCTCTAAGCCAACCTTATCAAAAAAAGGAAAGAAAAGACTCAAATTCATGCAATTAGGAATGAATAGGGTCACAACAGATCCTGCAGAAATCCAGATCATCAATACCTACTTTGAGAACCTGTATTTTAATAAGATGGAAAACAGAAGAAATGGACAGATTCCTAGATACATATGAATTACCAAAACTGAATCAAGAAGATATAGAAATTCTAAATAAATTAATAGCTAATGAAATTAAATATGCAATTTTAAAACTACCAACAAAGAAAAGCCCTACCTCTGACTGATTCACTCCTAAATTCTCTAAGAAATTCAGAGAATGTCGCTACTTCTCAAACTCTTTAATGAAATTGAAAGGGGAAGCAATACTCCCAAACTCATTCCTGGGATTCCTGGCAGCAAGCACTACCCTGATTCTAGAGAGATGGATCCAACCAAAAAGGAGAACTACAGGCCAATCTCCCTAATGAACATAGAAGCAAAAATCCTCAGTAAGAAACTGGCAAACAGGCCAGGGATTTAGTGGTTCTGCCGCCGGCCTCACAAGTGCAAGGTCCTGAGTTCCATCCCTGATACCAAAAAAAAAAAAAAAGATACTGGCAAACAGAATGCAGCAAATCATCAAGCAGATCATACACCATGACCAAGTTGGGTTCATCCCAACGATGCAGGGCATCCCAAGGATTCAGGGATGGTTCAACATATGCAAATCAATAAATCTAATACATTATATTAACAGATTCAAGGACAAAAATCATATGGTCATCTCAATAGATGCAGAAAAAGTGTTTGACAGGGTCCAACACCTATTCATGATAAAAACCCTACAGAAAATTTGAATAGATGGTCTTTATCTCAACTCGATAAAAGCCATCTACAACAAACCAATAGCCAATATCATATTAGGTGAACAAAAACTGAAATTTCAATCTAAAATTAGGAACAAGATAAGGGTGTCCACTGTCACCACTCTTGTTCAATATAGATCTGGAAACATTACCCAGGGCAATTAGACAAGAAAAAGAAATAAAAGGAGTAAGGATAGGAAAGGAAGAAGTTAAATTATCATTATTTGTGGATGAGATGATACTCTCTACATAGAAGACCCCAAAAACTCCACCAGAAGACTTTTAGATTTGATAACTCAATTCAGTGGCTCAGCTAGATACAAAGTCAACACTGTCAATAGCAATGGGCGTGGTGGCACAACTGTAATCCCAGCACTCGGGAGGCTGAGGCAGGAGGATCGCTGTGAGTTCTAGACCAGCCTGGGCTACATAGTGAGTTCCAGGTCAGTCTCATCCACATAGTGAGACCCGGTCTCAAAAATTCAAACAAACAAAATCAATAGCCTTCCTGTACATGAATAACACATTAATGGAGAGAGAAATGAGAGAAACAATCCCTTTCACAGTAACATCTAAAAAAAATAAAATACCTACGACTTAATCTAATGAAGAAGTAAAAGACCTCTACATCGAAAACTACAGTACTCTGAAAAAGGACAATGAAGAGGGTATCAGAAACTAAAGATATCCCTTGTTCTTGGATAGGAAGAACCAACATAGTGAAAAGGGCCATACTTTCAAAATTGTTATACAGATTCAATGCAATCCCAATTAAAATCCCAACAGAATATCTCACAGAATTAGAAAAAAAAAATCCTAAAATTCATTTGGAAGCAGAACAGACTTAGAATAGCAAAGGTGATTCTGGGCATCCATTAAAGAGGCTGTCTTTCTCCCAGTAAAGGTGTTTGGCAAAGTGGGGCTAGCACAGTCCCTGACTTTAAATTATACTACAGGGCCGGGGATTTAGCTCAGTGGTTCTAGAGCCTGCCACGCAAGCGCAAGGACCCGAGTTTGATCTCCGGTACAAAAAAATAAAATAAATTATACTACAAAGCTACAGTGATTAAAAATAGCATGGTCCTAGCAAAAGAACAGACCTGAGGATCAATGGAACAGACTAGAAGATGCAGAAACAACCCCAGACACACTCAACCACCTTATCTTTGACAAAGGAGCCAAACACCTTCACTGGAAGAAAGACAGCCTCTTTAATGAATGGTACTAAAAAAACTGGCTTTCCACATTCTGAAGGTTGAAACTAGACCCTTATCTTTTACCATGCACTAACCTAAAATCAAAATGGATCAAAGATCTAAATATTAAAACAGAAACACTAAATCTGCTGGAAGAGTAAGTAGGTAAAACACTTGAGGACACAGAAGTAAGCGAAGGCTTCAAGAATAAAACCCAGACTGCATGGGAAATACTACAAACAATAACTAGGACCTCATCTTATTAAAAAGCCTTTGCCTAGCAAGAAAAATAACAGAGTGAAGACACAACCCACAGAGCGGGAAAAAATTTTAGCAGCTATTCACATAAAGGACTATTATCTAGAATATATAAAGAACTCAAAAAAAGCAGACCCCCCCAATATAAAGACCCAATGCAAAGCTGGGCATCTGAAATGAACAGACACTTCTCAGATAAAGAATTAGAAATGGCAAATAAATATATGAAAAAATGCTCATCATTCAAGAGATGCAAATTAAAACACTGAGAATTCATCTCATTCCAGAAAAAAATGGCTGCTATCAAGAAATCAACCAATAACAAATGCTGGATGGACTGTGGGGAACCAAGAACTCTTCTCCACTGCTGGTGGGAGTGTACACTGGTGCAACCACTGTGGAAATTAGAGTATAGAGATTTCTCAAAAAATTAAAACTAAAGGTTCCCAGTATCTTTCCAAAAGAATTAAAAGCTTCATATCACAGTGACATATGCACACCCATGTTTACAGCAGCACAAGGTGTAACAGGTAAATCTTGCAAACAGCCCAAATGCCCATCAACTGATGAGTGGATAAAGAAGATGTAGTATTTTTTATACAATGGAGTACTACTCAGCCACAAAGTGTTCAAATGGGAAGGAGAACTAGGGAGGAAGGAGGGAGAAAGGAAAGGGACACAAAAACAGTGAAAATAGAAGGAGAAAATGGAAACAAAGCTTCTGTACATAGGGAGGAGACTTGCGGGGCATGGGATAAAATAAATTTTGTTAATAAAAAAGCCTACAAAATATAAAATGCAAACCATTAAAAAAAAAAAAAAAACAGAAAAAAGCTGGGCGTGGTGGCACACACCTGTAATCCCAGCACTCGGGAGGCTGAGGCAGGAGGATCGCTGTGAGTTCGAGACCAGCCTGAGCTACATAGTGAGTTCCAGGTCAGTCTCAACTACATAGTGAGACCCTGTCTCAAAAAAAAAAAAAAAAGCTCTGAAGATAGTGGTAGTGGCTACAACAATGTAGCTGTATTCCATACTGTGGAACTGTGCTTAAAATCACAATGGTGGGCTGGGGATTTAGCACAGTGGTTCCACCACCTGCCTCGCAAGTGCAAGGACCTGAGTTCGACCCCCGTACCAAAAAAAAAATATATATATATATTAGAATGGTAAATTTCACATTACATATATTTGGACAAAAAAAAACAAAAACTAAACACTGCCAATGATAGAGATGATGTGGTTAAACTAGTACCCTGATACATCACACTCTAAGAAAACAACATGGCAATAATTTTTCACCACCCCAAACTCAGCACACCCTTTGGTACCCATCCCACCACTACAGATTTATCCTGCAAAACTGCATGTGTGGAAGAGACACAGCACATTCCGTGAAATGTCACTCACAACTAAGAAACTGGACTCGCTCAGGGAAGAGGCATACACGGGTTGTAATGCCACAGACTTAAAATGGTTTCTGGAGGGCAGGGCTATAGCTCAGCCATGCAGCACTTGCCTGGCAGGTGCGTGGCCCTGACTTTGATTCCTAGTACCAAAAATAAAGGAATGAATGAATAGTTTCAGAAAGATTCTGCAGTGAAGTAACAAAAGCTGGTGTAGCCATGCGGGCTCTGAGGAGGTAAAGGTAAAGGCACGCCTGTCCTGACCCTGACTGGGTGGTGCTTTGAGTTACATCCGGCAAAACTCATCTGACTACATGCTGACATGGGTACATTTTGTGTGCAAACTGTATGTCAACAAAGGTGACCATTTAAGAAAATCGTGTCTGTCCCCAAACACTGAAAGAAATAGCACAAGACTCAGATGCCTAGGGATGGCAGGACTGTGGGTAAGTTATCTTTCGTTTCTGGTTAGTTTCTATGGAATTTGGGCATGTTTGTTGCTGTCGGAGGTTTTTTGTTTGTTTGTTTTGTACCAGGGATTGAACTCAGGTCCTTGCGCTTATGAGGCAGGCGCCAGAACCACTGAGCTAAATCCCTGGCTGTTGCTGTTGTTTTTATAAAAACAACCTTCTTTGCACTGCTCTACTGGTTTCTTTCTGTCTCACCCACAAGCCTCCATTTGAACTCTGGCCCCATGACAAGGCCCTGGGCCGGGAGGCTTCCCCGGGAAACCCCTGGGGTGCCTGTATGCTGGGACAGAAGGAATGACGCCGCGTGTTGGGGCCTGGCCACCCAGGGCTGCCCTGCTTAGAAGCCCTACAGACCTGAAGAAAAGTCCATCAGCCTCCCTCTCCCTCCTCCTAAGCAGGGTCACAGGAGAGAGGCCAGAGCATAGAGAACAAATGGGTTTGTATTTGCTTTTGTGGTTCCCATCTCCGTGTTTTGGTCTGGAAACCAAGTTCCAGGAAAGCCATTTCCCAGCAGCTTAAATCTGTGAATCCAACCGACCAATCCAAGGAACAGATGGGGAAAAGGAGGCTCAGAGAAGCACAAGAACTTGCTCAAGTCACCAGCTGTCAGGGAAGCAGGTGCCTGGTCCTTCACCAGCAGCACGTGTGCACATGTGGGTAGCCCTGCACTAGACTGCTATTCATGTCCCCTCTCTCATGGACTCTGGCCTAAACACATGAACTGCTTTGGCTGAGGTGGCAGCACATGGGTCAGAGATTTGGAAATCACCTCGGCTCTCAGATCCCTGAGACCATCACCAAGTGAGCCGGCCCTGGAGTGGACCAAAGCAGGAGGACCCAGCCATGCTGGAGCAGACCACAGGACCCATCACTGTGACCCACTGCTAAGCCCAGAAGAAACCAAATGCACCAGCCAAGCCTAGAAAGAATCAGTGACTTCCAGATTCCTGAGCTGAGCTGTTTAAAGCCACTACACTACACGATGGGTGATTTGTTATGTGGCCAAAGCTAACTGCAAAGGGCTTTCCATGTGCCAAGCTGCCGCTGCTCTACATCTTCACAAACACCCTCTACTGCAGCCTTCGCAGCCCTGAGAGAAAAACTGTAACTGTGGCCCTGAGGGAGATGAAGAGACAGAGGTTGAGCATCTGATTTGTTGCCACACATCTAGGTCACACACCCAGTGCTCCCCACTCTTCTCCAATCTGCTGCTTTCCATTGAGAAGGAGTTAAAAGTTTCAGCCCGAAACCCTGCACTGCTGGGCCTGTCAGACATTTTCAGTCTAAGCCCCGTGCCCCAGTCAGCACCCGCCTCTCCTTACCGCCCGGATTTCCCTCTCCAGCAGTTTCCCTGGGCACGAGTAGGTGTCATCAATGAAGGGACAGGAGACCTCCGCCTCTTGGCTGTTGCGGATGGTGCCCTGGAGGCATTCCCTGGCAAGGGAGGGCAAGGTCAGACTGTGTCCCCAGCCACAGGGACCCCAGGGCCCTTGCTTGGCTGCCCTCCTCCCTGCCTCTCCACAACCTAACACCAGGGGTCCCACCTCTGCCTCCCCTGCTGGTCCCTGCTTCTCTGGTCCAGGCCCCCTTCACCCTCTCCAAGGCCTTCAAGAACCCCTCAAGCTCCCTACCCCCACAGGCCCTAGAGCACACTCAGCCCTACCCCATCCAGAATGAGCCCAAATCCATCAATGCCACTCACAAGAGCCTCTGAGATCCTCCCAGCCTCCCAGCCCTGCTGTCACAAAGGGACCTCCTTGATCTCTCTGAACACGCCAGACCTGTGGGCCTCTGCTCCAGGGCAACCTGCTTAGGGACAGCTGGAGGGCCCTCACCGCAGGTTCCGTCTCTGTTGTTACTTGGCAGCCCATAGAATTTCCAGGATCCACCAGTGTTTAGCCATGAACCCTCCTCCCCATGGAAGGTCAGATGGCTTCAGTCAGTGGTGATGAATGAGTGCATTTTCCCAGCCCACGGGCAGAGGGGCCACCACAAGAGACTGGGCTTTGGGAGAAAGACTTTCCCGCAGGAGGTGGGGCTGCAGCAGGGTGCAGGGGTAGGGCCCCCGTGCCCTTCCACACACGAGAAGGGTAGAGAGCAAGGGTGGAAGCTCTGGAGCTTGAATGCCTGGGTTCGTGCCCAAACTTCTTGCAAGCTGTGTGATCCTGGGAAAACTGCTTGGCCTCTCTGTGACTCCCTTTCATCGGCAAATAGGGAGACAGCCCGCCTCACCAGCTTTTGCACAAGCCTGCTGCAGGGTGGGATGGGGCCGCACCTGCAGAAGGTGTGCAGACACTCCCGCAGCACCACAGCCTCCCCAGGCGCCAGCACCGAGTAGCACACGGGGCACTCGGCGGGCTCGGCATTCAGCACCAGGCTCCTCTGCTCCAGCTGCACGTGCTGCAGGTAGTTCCCCTCTTGCTGCTGCTGCTTGCGCTGGGCATATGGGCGGGGACCACCGGCAGGTCAGGGTCTGGGGTCAGGCCAGGAGGGGGTCCAGCCAGGCTAGGGGTGGCCAGGTGGTCAGGGGCCCAGGAGCGAGGTGATGGGCTAGGGTGGCAAGGAGGTCTGAGTTGGGGAGTCCATGTGGGGAGTGGGAGCAAGCACAAGGAGGGAGGCGGGAGGGGTCCCCTTGGCGGGGGCAGTGTTACAGGGCTAGGTTGGCAGGGGGGTGCTAGGTGGGGCCTGGTCAAGGTTGAGGGCAAAGCCAGGTGCAGAGCAAGATTGTAGAGGGGCCAGGGTGGGTCAGGCAGGGCCTGTGCTGGGTCCCAGGAAAGCAAGTGGTGATGAGGGTGTGGGGGTGACAGGGTCAGGGCTGGGCGTCTGTATGCTGTGCGGTCACCACGGGAGGGGGCAGCCAATGTCCTGGTTACCCTCCCACGGAGCAGCAAGCAGCCAGGGTCACAGGAAGACAAGGTGGGGAGGAGGGCGTTAGGTAGAGTGGGGTCCTGGGTGAGGCCAGAGTTGGGCAGACAGCAGTACAGCTGCAGGTGGGCAGGAGTGAGGTTACAGCACAGGTGTGGTCGAGGTCACAGCACGGGCGTTGAGATCACAGCCCGCGACACTTGTGGATGAGGGGTATGGGGGTCATCAAGGCGAGGGGCAGAGCATGTGAAGTGCCCAGATGAACAGCACAACCAGGGAGGGACTTCAGGGCCATGAGAGTGAGGCAGCAGAGAGAGAGGTGTACAGCGTGCAGGTGACTCCACGTCTGGCCCGACCTCCCGGTCTCATCCCGTCCCTCCCCATTTACAGGTCTGTCCCAATGTCTTAGACCTGCACCTACCTGTTGGTACTGACGCAGAGCCTCCTCTTCGCCTGCCAGGCGCGCCCGCTCCTCCTCGTCGGGCTGGTACGAGGCAGGCACTTGGTAGGCCTCTGGCCGAGAACGGCAGCACATTTCGCAGCCGGGCCGCGTAGGCTTGTTGATGAAGGTGCACCCAGCGCACTGCCAGCCCACCTACAGCACAGGGCCAGTAAGTGGGCAGGGCTAGGCTGGGCAGGGTGGTATGGGCCAGCCCACACGCGCAGGTGCTTACCGGTGGGGGCTCAGGCACTCCATTAGGCTGCACCCCTCCAAGTTCCTGGGGAACCCCAGGGTTGGAAGGAGCTGGCTCCAGGGGGCCCCGTGGCTGCAGTGTGAGGTCCTTGAAGCCCAGATCTGCAGGGAGGGTAGAATCCAGGGTATTCACTGTGCCCACGGCCTGAGCCAGCCAGTCCGACCCACTTATATCCCCTCCTACATGCAGTAAGGCATGCACCCTGGCCCCCCCACTACCTTAGCCCCGCCGCTACCTTAGCCATGATGTTCCTGTGTAAAACCTGACCCAGGCCTCCTGAGCACCAAGAGGGACACATCTGCTTTGAGGCGGGCCCACCTAGCCCCTGACCAAATCCACTCATGAACAAACACCCGGCCAACCAAAGAAGTGGCCATGAATTTCCAGTCAATCCAAGAAATCCAAGACTCAGGGAGACCCAAAGTGGGAAGGGGCTACTATGTGACAGCTAAAAGACATGGTGCCTTCTGTCGTGAGATACTGGTGAGAATACTGGCAAACTGTAAGAGTAACTGTACTTGGGATGGTCCATACCTATAACCCTAGCTGCTTGGGAGGTGGAGGCAGGACAGTGGCAATTTCAAAACCAGCAAGAACCTGTCTCAATATAGAATTTTCTAAAGGGCTGAGTTAGGGATGTAGCTCAGTGCTTAAGAGTTTGCCAAGCATGTTCAAGGCCTTAGGTTCCATCTCCAATACAGCCAAAAAAAAACATTGGTTATACTACAGCAATGTTAATTTCCTCGACACAGTACCACAAAAAACCTCTCTTTTTGAGGAAGTCCACATCTAAGTTTTAGGAGGGAAGGATATCATTTTGCAGTTCTCAGACTATTCTGAAAATAAAGTGATTTTACATAAAGGCAATGACACAGCAAAGCAGACATGGTAGAATGCTGCTATCTGAAGATTCTACACAAAAGGCAAGTGAGCGCTTCATACCCCCTTCACACAGCTCTGCAACTTTCTTGGGGTTTCAAATATTGCAGAATTGAAAAGCATAGAATAAACATGTTAGAATTATCATCATACCCAATGTACAAATTTTATCTTTGAGACAGGGTTTCATTATGTAGCCCAGTGGCCTCAAACTCACAGTGATCCTCCTGCCTCAGCCTCCCAGGATTTGGGATTACAGGTGTGCACCACTACACCCACAAAACTTACAAATTTGGAAAACCGAGGAACAGGGATAGGAATGAACTTGCCCAAGGTCTACACAGCTGGTAACCACCAGAGAGCAAGGACTGCACATAGGCCCTCTCCCCCTGCCAGTCGTCCTTGAAATGGATCCCTGAAACACTCCCTCCTCGGTCTTACGTCCTCTCCCCTTGGGACAGCCCTGAGTGGTGACCCAAAGCCACTATGAGGCCTCACCTTCCAGCATCCGCAGCTGGCGCTGGCGCTGCACCTCCTGTTGGTTGAGTGAGGTGTTGCAGGCTGACAGCAGATACAGGTAGGCACTGTCCCCATTCTGCCGCACTCCATGGGAGTGCAGAGTCTCCTGGTCTCGGGCCAGCCGCTGCCCAATCACCCACTGCTGCAGGCTCGGGGGGAAGCCATAGTCCAGGAATACCTGGGAGTGGACAGATGAGAGTGGACAGAAGAGGCCGAGTTGAGGGAGGAAGCACAGCCCACAGGAACCTCCCCCGGGCCCAGGCCTCACTCACCATGTCCTTGAGGGAGGCCACTGTCATGTCAGGGCGCACCATGAGCCAGATGGTGACCGTCTGCACATGGGCATCCTCCACGCTCACACACAGCCTGTGGAGAGTGGGCGGGGCAAGGATGCTGGCCTTCAGCTGTGCAGACAAGCACTTATGCACAAGCATGTGCTTACACAGGCACGAAAGTGGCCACTGCGTGCTTCTCCCATCACTGCTTAAAACCACATACTACGCCAAAGTATACAGCACCGAGGGCTCCTGCAGTCTGGCCCCTCCATGCCTCTCCAGCCTTCCCTATCTTTTCTCCCGGCTCCTTAGCCAAACCACCTACAGTTGTTACAATCTTGTGCCAAAACTTTGGCAGGGGTACTAGGGATCTAACTTAGGACCTTGTGCTTGCAAGGCAGGCAGGCAGGCAGGTGGCGGAACCACTGAGCTAAATCCTTGGTCCCAAAACTTTTTCACTGGGAGCCCAAGAGACAGATGCTGCCCACCCATTTCCTACAGACACAAACATGTTACAGAGACTCTGCCAGTGAGCATCTAGTAAATGTACCTAAAATCCTTGGGTTCAATCCCCAGTACTGCCGGGAAGAAAAAGGATAGAAAAAGAAATAAGGGGAAGGGAGGGGAGAAAATGCTATGTGCTGGGCACGGTAACACACACCCATAATCCCAGCACTGAGGAGGCTGAGGCAGGAAAACAGCAAGCAGAAGCCCAGCCTGGGTAATTCAGTGACTTAGTAAGGCCCTGCCTCAAAAGAAAATACTCTAGAAAATACCTTCCAAATTATTCAGGAAATGATTCTGATACCCAATCATCAATGACTTGAGAGAGAAAAATACAGAAATGTTTAAGCATGCAGAGACTCCAAAAGTCTGCCATCTACCTGCTATGTGAAACATTTTTGAGAAACAAGAAACAAGAATAGTTGAGTCTGACACTGGAGAATAGAAGAAAACTAAAAAGAAATGACAAGAAAAACTGGATGCTTAATCTTCAAGTGTTCTTCCAGCAATAGGAGTTTGGAAACGTGAAAGTAGATACGGTTTAAACTTCACAACTTCCGCTGTAGTGAGTAATATTTCCCTGACTCCTATACAGAAGTTCTACATGTTTAGAAGCAACCTAGAGGTAAACCATGGAGGTCTTACTTAGAAACAAAAATCTGAATCGCTTCTCGGCCTTTTGGCTAAGATCAAGTGTAGAAACAAAAATCTGAAAGCTGGAGCAATTCATTTTTTTAATTTTCTCTACTCCTCCTGAGTAGCTGTCATCTCTCTTTTCCTTCTTCCCCATCTTTAAAAAAATTGTCTTCTATTTTTTAAAAAAATTCCAAAACTATCATCTTTATATTCTTACTCTTTGGTTCAGGAATCAAACCTAGGCCTTACACATGCTAGGCAAACACTCTGCCACTGAGCTACACCCCTGCCCTGGGTGATTAGGCGCCACTGTAGCCCACTCTCCCAGGGTCATCAGGACTATGGTGACCATCAGGGAATCCAAGCACAGCTGCAGATAAAGCCAAAACTCTCTGCTGGGGTGTGGCTCAGTGGTGGCGTGTGTCCTCAGCACGTGTGAGGCTTTGGCTTCATCCCAGCACTAAAAGCTTTAGTTTATGCCACAGATGCACACCCACCATTCATTCTAGATGGACACATTGGCTTTTCTTTGAATTTGCTGTTTGAAGGCTCCTACGACTTGGGAGAGGGTGGGGACACTAAGAATTACATCCAGAATATGTGATCTAGTTTTCAGTATCAGCTTCATCGAAAATAACTCATATGATGGCTCACACCTATAATCCCAGCACTCTGGAGGCTGAGACAAGAGGATTGCCCCAAATTAGAGGCCAACCTGGGGTACATACTAAATTCAAGGCCAGACTAAACTACATAGTAAGACACTGTCTCAAAAACAAAACAAAACAAAAAACATACCCTAACAAATAAATAATAAGCAAGAACTTAAACTCTCAAAGTGCTGAGTAAAGAATCCTTTTGGATATCTGCCATTTTTTAAAACTATCCTACCCTAAAGTGATAGAAATTTGTGTGTTGCTGTTTTTGGTTTTTTGTTTTTTTTTTTGTTTTTTTTTTTAGGTACCAAGGCTGGAACTCGGGCCTTTGCACTTGTGAGGCAAACTGCAGAACCACTGAGCCAAATCCCCGGCCCTTTTTGAGTTTTGTTGTTGTTTTGGGGAGGTACTAGGGATTGAATCCAGGGCCTTCATACTAAGCCATATCCTCAACCCCCACCCCTTTTTTTTTTTTTTTTTGGTACCGGAGATTGAACTCAGGTCCTTGCGCTTGTGAGGCAGGCCACCGAACCGCTGAGCTAAATCCCCGACCCTCAACCCTTTTTTTATTTTTAATTCTGAGATAGGATCACACTAAGTCACTAAATTGCCTAGGCTGGGTTCAGATTTGTGATCCTCTTTGCCTCCACCTCCCAGAGTGCCGGGATTATAGGCATGTACCAACATGCCTGGCTTCTTCCTTAGAGTCTTTCTAAAGCCGTCACCTTAGTTTTCACTGATATAATTCTCTTTAACACTCATGTTTTATTGATTGAGTTAAGAGCTAATTAAATTATGCTATTACTATAACAAGTTCAACTGGCAAAAACAGGTTAGGGAGCACACTCAGCTGACTGCTGGAACTCATCAGTTCCGCGCCTGGAAGTTAGAACAAGTCTATGGGTGAGGGGCCTGCTGGTTAGGGCTGGGGGCTGGGGGCACATTCAGGCTTGCAGCTGGTCCACACACTTGGGGGAGTGAGGTTCTGGCAGCTACTGTCCACCCAGCTGGGAGCAGCAGTATATATTTCAAAGGAAACTACAGTGCCATTTAACTCAGAGGATCGAGGTGAGGTCAACAGGGAGAGCTTCTGCTCTGATCGGATAGTCTACATAAAACTCAAGAAGACCAGATGTGCTGGGTGTGGTGACATGCTTGTAATCCTAGCACTCAGGAGGCTAAAGCAAGAAGATTGTCGTGAGTTCAAGGCCAGCCTGAACTACACAGCAAGACCTTGTCTAAAAAAAAACGGCTGAGGATTTACCTCAGTGGCACCAGCCTGCCTGGCAAGCTCAAAGTCCTGAAAAAAACAAAACAAAACAACAACAAAAACACCCCCAAAATGTAGATTTTATTGAAAGTGTCTGTCAGAAGCTGGGTGTGGTAGCAGACACCTGTAATCCTATCACTGCAGAAGCTGAGGCAGGAAGACAGCAAGTTCAAACAGCCTGGAATACAAAGAGATCCTACTCAAAAAAAAAAAAAAAACCAAGTGGCCATATATCTATAGAATCAACATAATGCCTAGCAAAATCCCAGCTCATTATTTTGCAAAACTGGATAATCTCATGGAAATTCAAGGGACCCTCTACTCTTTCTTTTTTTGGTACTGGGGGTCGAACTTAGGCCCCTGTGCTTGCCAGGCAGGCACAGGACCACCGAGCTACATCCCCAGCCCCAAATTGTTTTCTTCTACTCTTTCCCTCCCACCAAGGGATCCTGAATAGCCAAAATAATCTTGAAAAGAACAAAGTAGGCTCACACTTTCTGGTTTGGAAAACCCCTACAAAGCTGCAGTTTTCTTTTGTTTTGGGGGTTATTTTTGGTACTGGAGATCAAACTCAGGACCTTGCACTTGGGAGGCAGGCACAGTGCCACTGAGCTAAATCCCCAGCAACTCTTTTGGTTTTTTGAGCCAGGCTCAAAGCCAGGCTCAAAGCTAGTTTTCAAAACCATGTAACTAGCATAAGGATAGACATAAAAATCAGCGAGCAGCCACACATAAACCCTTGCAGGACTTGGTGGCACATGTCTTTAACCCCAGCACTCGGGAGGCTGAGGCAGGAGGATTGGCAAGTTTGAAGCCAGCCTGGGCTACATAGTGAGTTCAAGGTCAGCCTGAACTACATAGCGAGACCCTGTCTCGAAAACCAGAAAAAAGAAAAGAAAGAACCCCTTATATTTATGGCCAATTTTCCCAGAAGGTGTTAAAGATGAGTAAATGGGGGAAAGAACAGTCTTTTCAAATGGTATAAAACAACTGGAGGGCCACATGGAAAAAAACGAAGTGGACCCTTATCCACACAATATACAAAAATTAACTAAAAATGTACAAAAAAACTAAAGCTGTAAATTTCTTAGAAGAAAATATAGGGGTAAATCTTCATGACCTTTGACAAAGCAATGATTTCTTAGATATGACCAAAAGCACCATCAAGAGAAAACACAGATGAAACTTAAAAAAAAAATTGTGCTTCAAAGAACGCTATTAATAAAGTACAAAGAGCCCACAGCAGAGAGAACACCTTTGCAAATTATATATCTGATAAGGCATTTTATCTAGAATACATAAAGCACTCCTATGAAGCTGGGTGTGGTGGCACATGCCTATAATTCCAGGACTGTGGAGGCTGAGACAGGAGGATTGTGAATTCAAGACCAGCCTGGAATATACAGCTAGAGCCTCAACGAAACAAAATAAAACACTCCTATAGCTAAATAATAAAAAGGAAAACTCAGTTTAAAAATGGGCAAAAGGGCCAGGGATTTAACTCAGTGGTGCTGCCGCCTGCCTCGCAAGCGTAAAGACCCGAGTTCAATCCCCGGTACCAAAAAATAAAAATGGGCAAAAGACCTGAATAGGCAGTTCTCCAAAGAAAAGATGCAAGTGGCCAATAAACTCCTGAAAAGATGCTCAACATCATTTGTTACCAAGTGTTGAGGGAAATACAAACCAAACTTTCAACAAGATACTGCTTGCAACTCACTAGGATGGTTACCATCAAAGCAGCAAGTGTTGAGAGACAATAGGGAGAAAGGCTGGAACCCACACACTTCTGGGGAGAAGGCAGCATGGGCTAGCAGCAAGAAGAGTCTGGCTGGTCCTCCAGAGGCAAAATACTGTTGTCCAGAAGCCCACTGCTAAAACACAAGGCCACATATGTCCTCAGCTACATTATACATCATGGCCAAAATTACAAACCCCTAAATGGGCAACTGACTAATGGATCAAATAAATGCAACTTACCAATACAAAGGACTTTTATGTGGCAATAAAAAGGAAAATATTCTGATCCATGCAAAAATGGACAAATCTAGAAAACATGGTGCTAAGTGAAAGAAGCCAGACATAAAAACCTAGGTATTATAGGATCATACTTACATGAAGTTTCCAGAACAGATCCGCCTGGGCTTGGAAGAACGCAGAAGACGGGAAAGGACTACCGATGAGTGTGGGTGTTCTGTGTGTGTGCGACCAGGGATTGAACCCTGGACTTTTGCAATGAGCTACACCCCCAGCTCTTTTTTAAAATTTCATTTATTTTGAGACAAGGTCTCACTAAGTCCCAGGTGGGGCTCAAATTTGTGATCCTCCTGGTTCAGCCTCCTAAGGAACTGGGATTTCATGTGTACACCACCATGCCCAGCTGTCTATGAATCTTCTTTTTGGGGTGATAAAAATGTCTAAAATTGACTGTGTGTAAAACTGTACAATTCTCATACATGAATATCCATTACACTGTGCACTTTGAGTGACTAAGCCATATGGATGTAAATTTTATTTCCATAAAACTGTTTTTTAAAAATGAAATGCAAGCCACCAGCACTGAAAATCAGATAAACAATAAATCAGATTATCTCACAGTGCAGCAATTTAAAAAGCATTTAAAAAACAAAAACAAACACAAACAAACAAACAAACAAACTCACCGACATCAACATTTATTGAGTGAACCCTCCACAGCAGAGGCTGAGAGTGTCCATCTCCCTTTCTCCTTTGTTAAGAGAAGCCCTGAGATCTAGAGCTGCAGACCTGGCTGTATGTCACAGCCTCCCTTTGGGCTGTGTGAGAATGAGATCTGATTCACAGGAATGAAGCAGAAGTATGCATAACTTTGGGTATATGTTTTGGTTTGATATGGTTTGGTATGGAGATGCTGGGTATGGAACCAGGGCCTTGAAGGCTGACAGGGATTGATTGGTATCAGGGATTGAACTCAGGACCTTGTGCTTGTACCGCAGGCATGGTGCCACTGAGCTAAATCCCCAGCCCTGACTTTTGTTTTTAAGAAGGGCCTTCCTTCTTCTAGATGTGCTACTGGCTGGAGGTGGGAAAGCTATTTGGAATCATGAAGTAAAGTTGAGAATGGAGACCATTAATGACAGAACCGTGAGAGAGAAAAGTAGGATGACTCTGCAGATAAGGGGAGCACAGCCTCCAAACCTACACTGACTGCCTTCAAGTGCCTACCCACTGTTATGTCCTTTTCGTTCTATCGCTAATATCCTAACATACTTCCTACTGATTTTGGCATAGCTCCTGTTATTGTCTCATTTTTAAAATGAGAAATTAAACCCTGAGAGGTAAAATAACCTGCCCTCTTCCTCGCAGTTGACTAGGAACAACAGGATTTGAAGCTCTTAAGGCTCCTGACATCAGAACCTGCCATTAGGAATGACTATTGTGGGGCCGGGGGATTTGGCTCAGTGGTTCCACTGCCTGCCTCGCAAGGGCCTGAGTTCGATCCCCAGCACCACAAAAAAAAAAAAAAAAAAAAAAAAAAGAATAACTATTTTGGGCTGAGGATATAGCTCAGTGGCACAGAACCTGCCTGGCAAGCCTGAGGTCCAGAGTTTGATCCCAGGTTCCAAACCCCCACCCCCCAAAACTATTGTTGCTGAAGATAGTGGCACACAACTGTAATCCTAGCATTTGGGAGGCTGGGGCAGGAAGATGGAAAATTTGAGCCCAGCCTGGGCAATTTAGCAAGTCTCTGTTTCAAAATAAAAATTTTTTAAAGGGGGTGGCTAGGAGAGCTCGATGGTGGTGCATGCCTGTAATACCAGCACTCCAGAGAACGAGGCAGGAGGATCATTGAAAATTTGAGGCCAGCCTGGGCTACAGAGGAAGTATAAGACCTGCCTGAACTACACAGCAAGACTTTGTCTTAGATAGATAGATAGACAGACAGACAGACAGACAGACAGATAACAAATTAAAAATGGATACATCCTAGGTTCAATCCCCTGGGTTGGAGAACAAAAATTAAAAAAAAACTATCCTTGGAGCTGAGCAGACCTCTTGCTAGCATGTGTGAGCACCCAGATCCAATCCTCAGCACTACCAAAAACATATAAAGTCAAAAAACAAAACCAAACAAAAGCCAGGCTGCCCACTGCCACCAAGGTACAGAAAGCCTCAAGTAAAGCCAGGGATGTAGCTCAGTGGCACCATGCCTGCCTAGCAAGTGCAAGGTCCTGAATTCAATCCCTGGTGCCTGGGGGTGGGGGAAAGCCTTAAATCCCAGGCCCCACGCCCATTACCTGATATCCCGTGTCCGTGGGACCTCCGGCTTCAGATGCACACTCAGGGACGCGTGCTGCTGTGCCAGCCAGGTGGCACACTTCACAGCTGCCTGCTCATCCCCGCCTGCCACTGCCCGGGCGAGGCTCAGGGCCATCTCCTCTGCTGAAAGCCGGCAGGGAGAAGCAGTTAGCACTACACTATTTGGGAGTCAAGGAAGTCTGGGAGGAGGTGATCTCTCCTGCATGCTCACTGCATCCAGTCTTCCCTTGAACACCCACAAATCCTTTCACACTCCATTTAAAAGTCTCTTTCTCTGGGAGGGAGGCCTTCTCTGATACTCCCTGCTCTCTCCACCCTAGTCTCGTCCGGTTCCATTTTTCCATACTCTCTCCCATACTTCTACTCATTTATCTGACAAGCATTTATTGAGCTCCTTTCTGTGTGCCACTCACTGCCCGGGGAACTGGGATCTAACAGTGATTAAGATAAACAACAGTGATTAAGATAAACCTCCCAGTCATCCCAAGCCAGTTAGGAGGCAGAAAGGAACAAGTCTGACAAGAGGTGGGCAAGTCAGACCCTGGTCCATGCTGGCAAGAGAATAAACAGGATGAGGAGATGACAGGGGATCCCGGAGGAGGCAGCAAAGAAGCTGAGGCCTGAAGGTGGCACAGCGGGATCCGCCAAGACCAGCGCGGAAGAGTGCAGGTGGCCTTGAGTGAGAGCCTTACAAGGCCTGGCGCAAGAAAAGGCTGGTTCAGAACCAAAGCCTAGGGGTTCAGGACAGTGAACAAGGGGGTGGGCTGGGCTTGGTTCTAACAACAGCGGGGATCTGAGAGGGCTCCCAATTGCAGCATTACAGCGTTCCACAAGGGCTGGGATACTCGGGTCCACCGAGGTCTGTCGCCTCACCAGCCCAGGAGGTCTGCGTGTTCAATTCCCGAGTCCTGCAGGGTCCCAACCACCTCAGCTCGGAGCTGACCCAAGGCCTCAGGGCCCCAGGGGAAGAAACTGGGCGGTGGGAAGGCCAGCGAGGAGTCCCGCGGTCACTCCCTCCTGAAGGCCGCCCCCATCCCGTCGGCGCCCACCTTTCTTGGTCTTCTCGTCCATCTGGGCTGGCTGCGCCCATCCCCCCGGGGGCTGCGGCTCGGGAAGCGCTATCTCCAGTCACCTAGGAGAGGCGGTCGCTCAGTCCCGCTCAGCACCTCGGGATCCCGGGCGACGGTCGGGTAGCACCACATCC